AGGATGAAAGAACACCAGCACTTGCTGCTGCAATACCTTAGCAGTGCTACAAATACAAGGTAAAGGTTAGTTATACATTTTACATTTATTTGCAGCTTTTCTTTAGAAGAACAGTAAGTGCAAATAGGAGAAGAAATTTGCCACCAGGAAATTTGTTATCTGGTTTCGAAACCACACTGAGAAGTGGTAGGAAGACTAATGGCCCTATTACAGCTCTTGTGACCCAGAAGAAAATGTTCTTGGAGTGTTGTGTAATGGTGTAACAGACATGTTTGTCTAGACCTCAGAGTGTGTCAGATTACAAGTGATTTTTATTAGCACAAGTAGAAATGTACTGTTATAAAATCCTATTAACCTGCACTTACACAAACTACCTAGGTTTAAAGCACAAGTAATTCAGGATACTAGGAAATTAGCATAGCACTTCTAACAATTTATAAGGGTACTTGGATTTGAGTCCCTGTTAGGAAACCCAAGGTTTGGCACAATTAGGCATAAGGCTGATACACCAAGTGTGATGTCACATGAAACCTGGAATGAAGCCTTCACCCATCTTGCCCTTATAGGAGGAGCCAAAATGATCTGAGGAGGATCTATAGCTGAGGAGCCAAAATGATCTGTAAAGCAAGGGTACTTTAACCCTTGAGTGGGCTGCACAACAGTAATTATGTAGTCAAGACCATAGTGATCAATTTAACCCTCTGCAACTACAGGGGACAACCTCAGAATATACGGATTAATACTTTCATCTGGTTCATCAACATGAGGGTTGTTTTCTCTCTCCCATTAGAATGTGGTTTGGCTATTGAGAACTATTGAACAGATGAGCTACTGTCTTGCTTTCCTTGTGTTATAAACACAACTCCTTTCTGTGCTTTCCACCTCAGCTGCACCAAGCAACATCTCAGACATCTACTGACCTTCATTTGGATCCTTCACACATAACTTGGTGGTGGAGCGAGATGGTGGTAACATTGACAAGCTCTGATCACACCATCTACTGTTAAACTTAGAAAAACATCTTAAGACTCTGCTCATAATTAAAGCCACGTTTAAGTTTGCTATCCCAGGTGTCCATATCATACTGAATTCTTTGCTTCCTCTTTTAAAGCTCAGCAAAAAAAAAAAGCATCAGCCCTCCTCTGAGAAGGGGAGACAGTTAGTCCCATGTTCTCTACACTCTTCCTGATACTGCCAGGCATAACGGAACCCGTGGGGACAGTCTGACAGTTATTTGTACTAGAAAAGGAAATGCCCGAAGCACAGGACAAGGTGGTAGCAAGGTAGGATGGAAACAGCAGACCAGCACAAAAATCAGTATTAACAGAATATAAGTGGAGTTGGGGTCATTTAAATACAAAAAGATTACAAAAAGAATTTCCCAGCTTATCTGAGGTGTGACTAGTACTAGGAGGTAAAAACCCCACAGCTTTCAGGAGGTTAGGTATACAAAGGTGTCATGGCTTAACCCCACTCAGCCACTACACACCACACAGCTGCTCATTCACCTCCCCACTCCTCCAGTGGGAGGGAGCACAAAAGCAAAGTTTAAGAAACAGGCTCCTGGAAGAAACTTACACCCACTTTCATGCACCGAAATTGTAGTGTCTGTACTTCTTCAGGCAGATAAAAAACAAACAAAACTTAGTGTTGACCGCATTTTGTCCTTAGCATGTTTTCCTTTTATGTATCCACATTCTGCAACACATTCTCTTTTCAGAATATCATTCATATGCCTCACTAGCACTGACATTATAAAACCTCTTAATGATTGAGTGGAAAGACAGATGAAAAGTTGCCTTAAGGCTCATAAATTGTTTATTCTTTATGCCATCTGTATCCTTGAATCTTTGAGCTTGTGATACACAGCTCAAAGCAAGATTAGAAAATAGTTTACAAATTGTGATAGTTGTAGAGAACTTTTTCTTCAAGTAATCATAAACACTTACATTTCTACTACTAGGTGATTTAACAACACACATTTCTACTACTAGGTGATTTAACACTCTACTTTAGCTTGCTCCACCTTATCAATATGCTGATGAAAATCAAGGGACAAGTTTAAAATTTTATCAGATCTACATCAGTTTTTCTCAGGAGTCTATTACACAAGAAAACTTCTGCCTCCCTCCAGGTTTCCCAGGCTATCAGCCAGCACATGAAACCAACTACTGGAGGCCAAGTCTCATCATCTTCTAATGCTTGCCCTTGCCTAACCTGCAGTTTATTCCAGGTGTAGTTGAAGTGCTAAAATTAATCTCACCACAAATGCCAAGTCCCAGGTTCTGCCAAGTGACCTTTCCTAGGGCTTATCTAGACCCCAGGGAACAGCTGGTCTCAAGTTCTTTGGGTTCATGTTGGGTTTTCTCCCCCCAAACAATTGGAAAACATCAGCCGAAAGAATGTTAAAAGCATTAAGTCCAACACTCAAAAGGTAAGAAACCTGAAAATTAACAAGAAGCTTTAAACAAAGGCTAATCACACAAATTTGAAACAGCCTTCTCCTGTCAAGGTACATACAAGTGGGTACTGCTTGTTTATTTTTCACAGGAGTGCTGCCTTTTCCAGGACACTCAAACAATGCTGCAGCAATTAATCAGGCTTCTGTGGGCACAACACCACTGACAAAGCATCAGTTGTTGAGGTAACCATGAAGGTGTGGGGTACAGGTGCAGAATGCTTGTGTAATGACCTCAGCTTTCTTGGATCCAGTAGCATCTCAGACTAATAGAGACACCCATCACATTCCCCATCTCATCTCAAAGCACCTATTCCTCAACTGACTCAGCTGTTACCCTTGCTGCAACATCAGGATGCTGGCCTGACACCACAAGGATAATTAGACCACTTTTTTTTGTTTGTACCAAGCACAGCCTCAAACTCCTTTCCTACAAGTCTCAATTGGACAGAAAATTCTCAGAGGATAGCTTAAAAAACCATGGCAACACATTTCCATTTCAGCAATGCTGTCTTGAGGCCTCTGTATTTACAGGACTGGTTTATAACAGCTTTTTCCTTGACTGAAAGGTCATTGCTCTGTTGGATAAGACTTATAATTTATGATATATAAACTTCCCCTGAAGTATTCTGCAAGTTGTTTAAGTATGTGCTTCTGTGGCTGTTATCTCTATATATGTTGCAGATGTACTTGGCTTTGCTGCTACAATTATGATATTGTGAGGTTTCATTACAAGACTTGAGTAATTATCACTGAGGTCCTCAGTCAAGTGGCTTTCCTGGTGCATATTATTTCAGGTGAACTTGTTTTGGCTTATCTTCAGTGACATTTAAAATTTAACATTTACACAGCCGTTCTATGAAAGCATTTGATATTTCAAATATGTATTGAGAAATTGCATTGTTCTGTTCCAGGGTTGTTCATTTCTTAAACATGCAAGAGTGTTTCTACAAATCCAGCAAAGTACCCTCAAATATTTCCCTCACATTTTAGCATGTGTTTACCTCTTCAAGAAAACACCCCTCTTTTTCAAGTTCATTGAAATTTTATTCATATGCAAATTCACCTCCTATATGGTACTTGTATTTCCTGTAGTTAACATCAATCTCAAGTTGCATACCCTATAAATTAGACCATTTAATGAGTCTTACTTCATATTGGACCTGCTAGGTAAGTCAAACATCTTTAAAAAATATTTCCATTTGAATTATGCTGAATCCTATTGAACTGTATCACAAACCTTTTAATTTTAGATTTTTCTTTGTGTTTCAGTATTTTAAAGTTTTTCACCTACTTTTACAGAGGCTATCAGGTGAGATGAAGATACTTTGAAAGATAGATGCCATATTGTAAGAATAATTATTAAGAGTTGTTTCCCTCTTAGACCATTGATAAAAAGACAGCATGTCCCAGTATCTTAACCTGGTTTTCTCTTACTAAATCAGATGTGGCTATTACTCCCCTGTATAAAGACAAACTGTAGCTCTTTGCATGGGAAAAATCACATATAATGCTATCTGTTGTACCAAAAAAAGCTTTGAAGGGGATGTTCCACATTTTTTGCTCTGTAGACTTGCAGACTGCATCTCCTCAAAAAATTTTATTTTGAAATAACTTAACTTTGCAACTACATCAATGACATTCATGTCACTGGGGGCAAAGCTAATATTACATAAAACTTCAAACCGAGACAACAGAATTCTGTAACTTCTTTTTTTTTTATACAGGACTCTACATTGGAGGGTAAAACAGTCTGTTTTACATTTGGCTTTAAATAATGCTGTGTCCACAGTTGTTCCACCAAATCTTACGAGTAGCTTTTTTCTTGGTCCCGTGCTGTGCTGAAGGTAAGCCAGCAGGAACTCTTCCACTGTCCACTTTCACACACTTGCCTGATGGACTAAATGAAGGCTTTACACCAGGTAGATGTAGTTACCACTTCTTTTTCATCTAGGTGTGCTGTTGCATTCCATCGTTATGCTTTGTAAACTCAGTGCTATGCTCTATAATCTGATGTGGGTTCTACCTGCTAGAAAACAGATCAATTCCTTGCATCAAGTAAGATGCTCAAGTCTCTACTACTTAGTGATGCAATGGTTCATTCAATTCACAGAAAGGTTATTTTCCATAACAGAGGGCACAGGAAGCTTCTTGCTAAGTGTTAGGCTCAAGCTGCTAGCAAGTGCTTGCACAGCCTGAAGCATTCTCTCAATCAATAGACAGTTTAAAATCAGCTAAACCTACTGCACAAGTGCCAGCCTTTCACCTGGCCCGGCTCAGTCACTTAGAGTGAAGACTAACTCCAATCGCTAATTCAGGTTTTGCATAAACATCACTGCTCTGCAGGTAGTTCCCAGGAATAGACTCCCTATCCTTATCAAGATCAATGTGTGCGAAGTTCCCCCATTTAAAACACAGCAGTAAACTGAAACAGGTCAAACACCTTTAAAAGTTTGCATTCATTTCAGTTACCTCTGCTTTATGTTGAAAGCTAGGATTCAAACTGTAACTCAAAGTGCGTAACAGCTGGTTTTGTTCATAGGTTTCCTCCCGCTGGTTGACAAAAGGGAAGATGTTATCTGTCAGCTGGAGCAACGGATTGCCAGACTTGAAGGAGGTAATTTATCTGGCTTTACTTTCTGCTGTAGCCTGATAAACATACATGTTTGTCTACACATAAACAGGAGGAGCAACAAAAATGGCTTCTTGGGAAAAAGGCACAATTTTCTGCCTTTTTATTGTATTCCATTTAAATGTTGCTCACTGGTAGATACAAGTGTGGTAACTCAAAAGGGGAGAGGGGTTATTTTTTCCTAACTAGTGGGAGACACCCAGGTAACAGCTCTGAAGAAAGAGTGCAAGCTAGTCAAAAATTTCAGATTGAAGTCCCTACCTATGCAGAACTGCTCCATGGGCACATGATGCTCCTGACAGTCAAGTAAACTGAACTAAAAACATACCAAAACAATCACAACCAAATCACATCCAACATCCTACTCACTCAAGGAATGACTTACACTCTTGTATACTGCAACCCATCTCAGACAGCTTATGCAGAGAGTCAGGGAAATAATATATATTTTTCCCAGTGTAGAATTCTACTCCCTTCCCTCCTCCTCTAATCTCTTTTGTGCTTCTATTTATTTGTCTGTTTATCTGTGTTTCTTTTTATCCTCCCCTAATCATCTCAGATTTCTTCTGGCTTCTGAGGGTTGTCTTTTTTTTTTCTTCCCCCATCTTAGATTTCAAATTTTCCTCTCCTTTACTTTTTTCCTGGGTTTACTGTAGTTATGGAAGAAGATAGCAGGAATTAGAATAGGCAAAGTTGCCACAAAACAATACGTAGAAGATTAACAGTTTTCACCTCATTTGCAGTCCTCCATTTGGAAAAGATGATGATAGCATCGGGAGGAAAAGTGTTTGCTACCAATGGGAAAAAGGCTGATTTCCATACTGCACTGAAAGAATGTGAAGAGGCTGGAGGGTCTATTGCCACTCCGAGGAACCCAGGCGAGAACGATGCTGTTCTGTACTTTGTGAAACGTTTTAATACCTATGCCTACCTGGGCATAAAAGAATCTGCAATTCCAGGCAAATTCCAGTTCGTGGATGGTACCCAACTGAGCTATACTAACTGGCATTCAAAAGAACCTTCTGGCAAAGGGGAAGAGGAATGTGTGGAGATGTACACTGATGGCACTTGGAATGACAAGAGATGCAACCAGAATCGCCTTGTTGTCTGTCAGTTTTAGTGCTGCTTGCTCCCTACCCAATCCCCCTTTGCTGCTCCCTGGCAAACACCCAGGAATATGCTTGCCCAGCCCTTGTCTCTTCCTTTGTAGCTAGTGAACTCAGATAATGCAGCATGAAAAATAAAAAGTCATTCTTCCCTGTCTGATTTTTCGTGTAAACAAATGCCAGCCATTAAAAGGCAATTGTAATGACAGCAGCAGCCCTTGTGTCTGTTCTGTTATTCCATGCCCACTGAGTTTCTTGTTAGGACTGCCCATGGTTTCCTACAGCTCTGTTAACTTGCTGACTTATTACAACCAGAGCAAGAAGCAGGTTGCCTGAGCACATAACCCCAAGTGACCTGTGCCACAAGGTCTTCCAGCACCCCTTTATCCATGAGCCTCTACACTGTGTGTATTTTGATCCTTTCTATAAGTTTCACATACCAAAGCTCCCCAGACACCCTGCTACCACTGCTGTTGCTAAGCCTCCTTTACTCTGGCTATCTCCACCCACAACAGATCCCCAGAAGCAAGCAGTGCTGCTAGGGTGACACAGAGCTACGAGCATGTCATGTTTTAACTCTGGCTAGCAAATATCACAACATCACTCTCACAAATCCCCCTCCCCTCCTGCAGTGGAGGGGACTAATTGGAGGGAAAAAGAAATAAGTAAACTCCTAAAATTCAGGTAAGAACTATTTACTAATTAGGAGTAGTTGTATATATTAACTTAGATTTAATAATTAAAATACAAAATAAACAATATAATACAATTCCTCACCACTCACTGACCAATGCACAACAGGTGCTGAGTAGTGAGAGTCAGACCCAGAGAGCCCAAGTCACAGCCCAAGAGCCATCACAGCAGATTCTGAGCAAACCCTATCAGCAATAGCAGCCCTGGAAAACTAAACCAACCCATCAACTCCCTCACAAATGAGCCAGCACAGGAGTTGGCCAAGCAGCTAACACAGGAGGTCAGGGAGAGGGTTAGCAGGTCCCAGGAGTAAATGAGCAATAGAATAAGGGAAAGTAATGGTTACCAGACCCCCTCCTTGCCTCTGCCCCGAGCATGACCTACTGTGGCATGAATTACCTCTTTGGTCAGTTTGGGTCAGGTGCCTGAGCTGTGTGTCCCCTACACTGCCTGTAGCAAGACAGCAAGAGCTGGGAACACAGCTGCAGTGTCAGAAACTGAAAAAGACCTGGAATTTAGTGCAGGCATTCCCCAGCACCAGCTGACATTCCCCAGCATCTCATCATTGCTGCTCTCTGCATCTAGGAACACAGCTTCCTAGCAGCCACAGTAGAGAGTTAACTGTTTCTCTGTGCACAGAGCACAAGGGGGGTTCACCCCCCCACAACACTTCCCAGGGGAAAAGACTTAGTCAGGAGGTCTGCAACCATCATATACCTGAAAAGTGGTGGCCAGAAGCCACCTTGTCCTGAGCCCCTCCAGCAACTCCTAATCCTTCCCGACTCAAAGGAGTAACAGCACAAGAAACCCAAGGACCCAGGCCACGTGGGGTGTGGGGGGAAGAAAAGATGCAGGACCTGACAGGAGTTGAGGTTCCCCTGTGGTTTGGGGAGATCAGTAAAGCCAACAGGCCAAATATTTTAGGCTACATAGAAGAGAGATTCAGCTAATTTGTGTGGACCACAGAGCTGCTTGGCAAAACCCTATTGGGATTCCCATGGGGCTAAGCTTGGTGGTTGCCTACATTCCTGAAACAGCCTATACTCTGTTCTTAAAGCAGAAGATTCTCAGGGCCTGCACCCTCCAGCTCAGGTAAAGGATTAAGACAAAGCTTCCTGAGCAACTTTGTTTCTGAGGTCTAATCACCTACTAAATTGAGTATTCCCAGTGTAGGTGCACAGTTGTGCAGCATAACAGGCACATCCAGAGATGTCTGGGAGTTTCTTTTCCTCCTTCTGAGGCAGCTGAAGTCACAGCTTAAATAAATGAAGGCTCTTGCATAAGCTCCATGACATGGTGCAAAGGCTGGCTGAGCATCAGGAAGGCCTCCATATACACTGAGCCAAATGCCTGGTTACTGCTCACTCTCTCCCATGAACTTCATTAGCTCCAGCCTAGAGAGCTAAGCAAGGAAACATCCAGCTCTAGAGCCAAACCAGCTCCTCTCCTCCTCTGTGTGACAGGGAGACAGAACCATCAGAGTATGAAGGTAATTGGGAAGGCAAGGCATGCTCACACCTGGTGTGAGTGTAGGGGGCAAAGGGGTTGGTTGGAGCCTCACAGCTGTAATTCTGGAGCAGCAACTGGCCATGCATGACATTCCTGCACTGGCTTAAACTCAGTTAACTCAAGAGCTTTGAGAACACATTCTCACCACCTGCTGTATGACCTTCCACAGAGCTTCCTGGCCTCTGTTTCACCCTCTGCTTTGTGTCATGGCCTGTGAATCATTCTGGCTGTTATTCTCTGCAAACTAAGCAATTTATCTTACAGATATTTACTTAGGATCATTAATTCAACAGGGCTAACATCAAACCAAGACATCTTTCTGCTTAAACAATTCCCATGCCTGCAGGTGGTCTACCTCCACAGCTTACTTTAAGTATTCCTTTCACCAATATTCAGATACTTATTCACAATAACGCATACTTAGTAAGACTTTTTTCTCTGTGTAGACTAAGATATCTTTACAGTTCCTAGAACAAGAAAACAGTTTTGTGATAGGAAGTCCTCAGTTTATCCAAGCCATCTATTCAAGATGATAAATCCACAAGCTGTTAACTAATGCCCTGTTTCTGGACAATATACCCAAAATATAAACTTCTGTGTCCTGTATCATGTAAGGTCTGGGTAGGCTGTTACATTGCTGTGTTAATCCAGTTGAAAAAGGTACATAGAGGGGAAACGAGGTGCTGTTTCACTTTCAAACTCTATTCTTACTCAGATTTGTTTTATCGCTCACCAGTATCTGCCTGCCCCCATCAGCTCACTCACCTACAGTCTTCAGCCTTGCTTGACTCCTGTTGTGAAACCAACCCTGCCACGAGCACAAGGAAACAGGAATCCAGGCATGACCTTGTAGTTTTCCATTCATCATATTCCAATCAAGTTGAGGAAGTTTACCATGATTAGTATCAGCTTGAGAATGAAGCTGGACTCCTTCAAATATTTAAAGCCATGGTGGTTTTTTAAATCCTTATCTCCATGGGGCTAGGGTAATCTCAGAATTAGAGCCAACTGCAGGTCTGTAAAAGAAAGAGCTAATCTAATGAACATGTGCCATAGTAGAAATGTTCCCCCACTACCCCATGTTTGGAAACTTTCCCTGTAGTCTCCCAAGGAAAAAAAAATTCTAGAGGACTCAATGTGTTACTCCACAGCTACAGATAGTGACACCCTTCAGGCACTCTAGCTCCCTATCAGAATGAGGACCTAAAACCTCAAAGCAAGTAAATATTTCTTGCCTTGCCTGAAGCTGCTCCCTCCAGCAATCCTGCTGACAGCAGGCAGGTCTGGAATCAGTGGTCTGGGCCTGGGAAGCAGATTGGTTTGGCATATGGTCATCCAAATTATTTTCTAAATCTGAATAAAAAGGCAGCACAGCATCAACTGACTTACAGAAAGACAGGATTCCCCAAGTCTGACAACTCTTCACTTCAAATTTGTTTTCTAGAGGACCACACTCAAAGTCTGAACTTTGGTTTTGGTAGGTGCAAACATACACCCCCTGGGCTACCTGTGCTGGCTGTCACCAAGACAGGTAGTTGCAGCAATTTCAGTGTCCCCACCAAAAGATTTGTAACCCAGGCTACAGTTTGGCTTTCACATCTTTCCTTGTCTTCAGGCAAGCTGCAGATGCAGTAGTGGGTACAGATAAGAGGGACCTTTCCCTGGGACTGCAAAGTGCCACCTCCACAGCAGTGTGGAGCCAAGCCAGGTCAGCAAGGCCTCTGACAGGGTTGGTGTGCTTTTTACCCCATCTAATAGGTACTGTGGCAGCCTGATGGTAGCTGTGATTTTTCAAATATGGAAATAAAGCTAAGCCTGTAAGTTGCAAGTGGCTTACTGAACACACAGTTGGAAGTATGAACCCCTTGGGATCTGCAGTAATCTTAGGGGTATCAGCCCTCATGCTCTGAGGGCTGCATGTGCTACTCATTTAAAAACTCAAGTTCTTATTGGTTATTATCAGATTATTCACTTTGAGTACATAAGAATATTTATGAGGAAAACTCCAGTGGTTTCCTGGCTAAAAAGTGTCATCATTTTTCACTGTAAAGTGACTGTCTCCTAAAGCAGCTTGTGAACAGCCAGCTATTGTTCTGCCCATCCTGAGCAAACTGTGGTCAAAGCAGAGCTGCTTCATCCTTTCTTTGGAAAGGATTGTGCCACTTTAAGAGCACCAAGTGGGAGGTGATACAGGCACCACTATACAAACAAGTACCTGTGCACACTGCCGCTCACCTGAGCCCCGCGCAGCTGAAGGCACACTGCCCTCACCCCCCCTGGGTTGTCTGGCAGGTTAAACACCACTATCTCCAACACGCACCCTCGCTGCCCGACAGCAGAGCATGGATGCCTAGACGAAAAAACTAATTTCTCTGAAAGACTTGCAAGACACCTTGAGGACACAGAGAAGGTAAGAGCAGATGCAAAAGAGTTGAATGACTCCACGACCATCCAAGCTTTAGATAAAGCCAGAACTTATTTCAGGTAGTCCAGTTGAGAAAGATACAAACTTTCATCTCAAACTCAACTGCTTGCTGGCCTTTCTGCAAAAATAAGGGAATAGCTAAATTACTTCTACTTTGGTTAAGAGGTTGCTACCAACGAAGGGATGAAGAGGAAAACAGTTACTATTCATGTAATTTATATTAAGTTCACTAATACCAAAATAGATTGCTAAATGGTTAGAGTTATATCTACAAGTGCACTGCATAAGGAATTTTTAATTTTGCAGACTGTCAGCTTGTCCAAGTTTGTTCAGAAGTGTTTAAAGGTTAAATACTTTGGAACAGGAAAAGTCTGTTTGACTTACAGG